GATGTTTAACTTAGAGATTTTACAGAAATTAATAACAAAATGCAAGTAAAATACAGAAATTTAAAGTTATATTTTTTTATTCCTTTTTCTCACAAAAGCCACATTAACTCCCGTATCGAATCTGAAAAGTTAAATTCAAACGTAGCATCCAAGCAAATAGCGAAAATTATATGTATCTTATTAAACATAATTTCTGGATAATTGAACCAGCAAAAATCAAATGGATTGCAATTTTATCCCCGAAAGAAAAAAAACTACTAACCAAATGGGGGAAAAAATCTAAAAGAAGAAAGATGCGAATGCCTTTTTCTTTCTTTCTTTTTTTGGTGAATGCCTTTTCCATTGTGCAATTCTTATGCAACATGCAGTAATGTAAGATTTGGAGTTTTTTTTTTTTTAAAAAAAAGAGGAGCCCTCTGTTTTGGGTTTGATCGAGGTTAGAGAAGGAATAATATTGCAGTCAGATTACTTCACTCCGAAATTCAAAACTAGATATACGAATACCTAACAGAATAGGAATCTTGAACTCTAAACTTGATATTAGTCAATAAATGTTTCTTTTGAAATACCTCTAAGCTATTTCATTTCAATACTTTTGGTAGACCCTATCCATTTTTGCACATGAAAAAAAAAAAACTTAGCAATAAAATTAAAAGAGGAATCCGGAACTCTAAACAAGATATAAGTCAATAAATGTTTCTTTAGAAATACCTCTAATAAGAACATTCTATTTCATTTCAATGTTTTTGGTTGTCCATCTATTTTTAAAACAGATGAAAAATAGTTTGAAGTATTACAAATATTTTAAGATTTTTTAAGTACATAAACTTCACTAATACAAGCACTAAAAAGGCTCATAATTTGATCCAAACTTACCTAACAAATTACATATCAAAAAATGGGTAAAGAAGGGTAGACAAAAAGGCTCAAATTACAATAGTGATAAATAGTCATTCAAGATAAAAAAAAAAGGGAAATAATGCCAAAGGAAAGTTAAAAAGAGAAAAGTTGGATGAAATAAGAAGAATTTGGGAGGAGAAAATAGAATTATCAGCTTTCTTATTTCCATAATATCTGGGACATGAACCATCCCTCCTCTTGCTTATGTACATAAAAAAACTCACACTCATGAACTTAGTATATTCATATTTTTTTAGAGTATCCAATATTTTAAACTTCCCTCATATAAGAGTAAATGAACTTTAATAAGGACCACAATTAATTCAAATCGAGTTAAGACTGAATCGTTTTTAGTGAAGAGTTCTACTATTAACACCGTCATATTCTTTAACCTTAAATTTAAATTTTTTGTTAAGCTTATACAACTTTCTTATCAATTAAATCAAACATATGAATATACTCCTTGTGGGGCATGACTTGGCTGCTTTCAGGATCTGATTATCTGACCTTTAATTTAAGACCCTTTTTACAGGCTTTTGCCTCTTTTTTTATTCTGAAAACAAAGAGAAATTAAAAAAAAAAAAGGAAATAGGAAGCTAAGTAAAAATGGGAGGCTTGTGGGCTTTAAATAGGGGACACATAACAGTCACATGAACAAAGCTTGTAAAAGTTGTCATCCAACTACTCTCGCGTGCGTCCCTGCTCCCCCCTCATCCCAAACATGGGTTTTAATTATCGCTTTTTCCCATAAGAATTATTTTGTTAGTTTTTATTCTTTTAGGTAATCGACTTTGTTAGTTTTTAATATTTATAATTTGTGGTAAATTTTATATTTTAATGGAAGAAAATATTTTTTTATTTATTGTTTTCATTAAATTTGTTCAAATTAATACATCATGTAGTCAAAAAATTTAATTTTTACGCTCTTGTAATTAAGACTCATCCCATGCATTGCATGAGCACAGAATTAACGATTAATCCTTCCAGAAAGAACTTACTCTGATGTGTGGGTTAGAAAGAATTGGTAATAGTTGGCTAAAAAAGAGTTAGAAATTTCCATTCTCTCTCCCCCTATCTCAATTTATAACATATTTTTTTTAACAAAATTATACTCCTACATCACAATAAAATTTATTAAATACAGTTTTTAATATTAATTTTTCTCTAAATTTTCAAAAATAACCTTCGTTAATAAGAAAGAGGGAAGGAAATTTATTTAAAGAGTAAAATAATGAAAGATAATATTGGATAATCATCATTAATAAAATATTTTTTAATACTTTATATTTTGAGACACCAAATTACCTTAAAAAATATTTTATAAAACGGTATTGATGTTGTAGCCTTTATTAAATCACCTTATGCAAAATATGTATTAAGTCAAATTATTCATTTAATTAAGTTATTCTGGCCAATCTAAATTATTGTCTTAGATTGATACCATTATTAATAGACATGTTTATTTAATTATATGATTAGCATCAATTATATATTACCAGTAACTTATGAAATGTGAAAATATTTTAATATAAACAGACAAAATAAGAGGTGGACTTTAATTTGATGCAAAAGATATATTACTCCCTTCATTCTAAATTATAAGATACTTTTAGATAAAATCTCATATACCAATAAACCTCAGTAAATATACTTAACAACCTTATCTTTTCAAAACAAAAATATAAAATTTTAAAAATACTCATCATTTAACACATGGAAAAAAGAAGGGATAAAAATTAATTATAGAAAGATAAAGGATAATATTAAAATTGGTGCGTTTAATCAAATCTTAATATATCCAAAATGTCTTATATTTTGAGACAGAAAAATTCTTTTAAAAGTGCTTTATAATTTAGGATTGAGAGAGTATAATTTAGTGTGAATGATATATGTTAGAAAAAAAAATGACCCAGAAAAATACATGCATATATACCAAACATATATAGTTGTTTAGGCATCACTTTCTACACCAACCATACTCACTGGCAAATAATTGTTAGTCAAAAATTAAGTTGGAGCATTCATTTGTTTTGGTTATGAAAATAATTGTGAACAGAGTTGAACTTTTTATTCCCAGTATATTAATTTATGTTTGTCCTTATCAATATAACCAACACACAGATAAAAAGTGTTTTTTTTTTCTAATTTTATTGTCTTTCTTGATACTAGTCATTGAATAAAATAGTTATACGATAATAAAATGTGTCAATGTATTTATAGAAAATTTGATAAGAAGTAAATAAATTATTCGTAATAAAAAATTAAATAAATTATTTATATATACAAGACAAACAAAAAAAATCAAAAAAGTGTAATGAGCAGAATTATTCACAACTTGTTTAATAATTCAATTCATTTTATAAAAAAATCAGTTCATTTCCTACTTAATATGAAAATTTGAGCTTAGTCAAATCCTAAACAGGGAAAAATTCTTTAAACATATATATATATATATATATATATTATCGGCATTAAGCTTGAAATATTTGTACGTAAGCTAATACGGTACATGTAAAAATTACAAAATATTTTAGAATTTTTAAAACAATTTTTACGATAAAATTTTATAGCGGTGATGATGATGATAAAATGTTAGTTAATGATAAATTATAATCAAATGAATAAATGCTATGGAGCAGTGGAGCTATAGAAAAAGCAAGAAAAATAAAAGGAACAACAGGAACATCAATTATTGAGAGTAACATGAATCAGGAGTTTAGTAACTCGAGGGAGTGGCACCTGGGATGGCATGGCGTTAGCAATAATTTTTTTAAATTTATTTTTATTTAAAAGCACAAATCTAAAAAAAAAAAAAAAAAAAAAGGACCCCTACGAAGTTGTGCTACAACAAAGGTGATTTGCAGGGGAATGGTAAAAAAGTCCCACGATAAAATTAATGATAATTAGGTCTGACAATTTTTTTAAAAATGAGTTATTAATATTGATTCAAAAAATTATGTGTAAAAATTTCAATTGCACCCAATTAAAATTGACTTGAAAGGTAGGGGTTTTTATCATTTAAACAAGTAGTTGAAAGTTTAAATTATAGCTTTTTTACACTCCCTTTGTCCTATTTATGAAACACATTTTAAAAGTAATTTTTAATTTAAAATATATGACATATTATAATGATTAAACTATTTTTTTTAAATTTTACCCCTTCTTAATTAGCATGAAGCCATTTGATGTAATTGTATTATTATTTAAAGTCAATAATAAAAATGAAAGTACATCTCATTTTTTATTTCATCAAGAAAAATTAATTTTTTTAAAATGCGTGAAACAGTTAAAAGTATCTTATAATAAAGACGAGAAAAAATATGTAGTAATTTAATTAAAAGTAGTTTCTTACTTGCCTTCAATACTATAAGGGAGATAATCTATGAGTTAGACGGAATCAAATATAAGGTATTTAATTGAAAATTAACCTAAAAATTTAGAATTAGCATTTATCTAATTAATCTAAAAATTAAATATATTGTTTATTTAATAAAATTTTATGATCAAAATGTAATTATACTAAAAATATTATGATAAAAATAGAGGGAAGCAAGAAGTAGCAACAACAAAAATTAGTAGATAAATTTAAAAATAAAATTTTCTCTTCAAAATTATTCATATGTTATTTTTCTCTCACTTTTCTCTCCATAACGAAGTAAGAAAAAATGATTTTTTTTTCGCTTTTTCCTCTCATTTTTTTCTCCCTTTCACTTTTCTCTTTTGCCAAGCATAACATTAAGAGTTACATTTAGAATTTAAATATTTTATTTATAATTAAAATTTTTGAGTTTACAAACAAGGGTCAAGTATAGTAGAAGAAGCTATTTTCTCACAATATAATAAATTAAGATTTAAATTTTTATTAAAAAAAATATTTACATTTAGTGTTCAATAATCTTTCAAATATGATCTCTTCCCATGAGATAATACATGAGATAACAAAAAAGAATCCTGAATTTATAATTGTTTATTTGGATTTCTATTTTTTAAAAAAATAAGGTGACTTGTACACATTACTGCATGTTACTTCTGCCAGGGTTAATATTAATATTATAAATAAAAGATTACCGCCATATCAGACAAAACCACCATCTCACATTCTCATTCATTTCTTGTTTTCTTTGGAAGTCAGAACCTCTGCGCATTCAACCACTGATCCCAAGGGGCAAAGGCAGAAATGGAACCCAGAACAGGATCCTCCTCCTCTGCATTTCTATTCACCAATCTCTGTTCTCTTCTTCTTCTTCTTGTTCTTGTGCTCTCTTTCTCAGGATCTGCCAGAGCTTACAAGAACTACACAGTCGGAGATTCTCTGGGTTGGTTCGACAATCTCGAGAAACCTGATGTTGATTACCAGAATTGGGCTTCTGACAAACACTTCTTTCTCGGAGATTTTCTCAGTATGTATCATCTTCTTCTGTTGATGAGCTTCTCTTGATGTGCTCTGCTCATAACTTTCTTTTAATCTTTATTATTGACTCAGACTTTATATATACTTCTCCTCGACCCTTTTCTTTCTTTATTTCTACTGTATAATTACATGATTTCAGTTGTTTCATCTGATTCTTCCAAATTGTCTTGATCTATTTCTTCCTTGGGTTTAAATATTGGACACTGATCTGGTTTCTGGACAGAACCAGATTGCAGTAATAGTGTAATACAGAGAACTGTGATCCCCTTTAGTTATATCAGTTTGAATACTGAGTTGAGGGGATTTGGGGATGAAAAAAATGATAAAAGGTAGGAGAATTTTTTTTTTTAAATTTAAATAAATATTGCTCTTTTATATTTTTTAAAATATATTTCAAGAAATTAAAATATTGAAGTTAAATTAAATAAATAAAAAAATGTCCAAATTATTTCCTATGAATTTTCTTGCATTCTCTTCAGATCAAGCATATTTCAGACAGTAAAATTTTATCTTATTTTGAAATTTGTCTACATTGTTCGATATTATATTGATTAATATAATAATATATGGTACCATGAGTTGCACTACAGCCGGTAATTCAGGCCAAGCCCGACGAGCTAGTCCGAATTGGTCCAAAAAATTTTAGGGCCAGGCTTAAAAAAAGGTGTTTTTTTATGTTCGGGCCTATTCGGGCCGGCTCGAAATAGGCTCGAAAAAATTCGGGCCAAGCCCGATCGGGTTCGGGCTTGGCCCAAATACTCGAATAAAAAAATTATATTTCTAAAAAATATATAAAATATAATAAATATTAATTAATTCTTTAAGTTTTAGATCATTTTATACTAAAATACCATATATTTGAGTCCTAGACATCATTTAAGTATTAAAAAATATATTTTATATTTTTTATAAAATAAAATAATTAATTTCAAAGTAAAAAAATAATTAAAAATAGTTTTAAAAATTAAATTCGGATATTCGGGCCGCCCGAAGCCTGAAGCCCGAAGGAATTCGGGCCGGGTTTGACTATTCAGGCTTTTCGAGGAGTCGGGCCTGTTCGGGTTCGGCCTGCTTGAATTTCCGGCTCTAAGTTGCACCAGGATAAATATACATATAAATAAATACCTTTGGTGAAAAAACATTTAAATATATTATTATCATCAGATCAAAGTTTGGCACAGTAAAAGTAAAATTATGCACTTCGTCCGCTTTTATCTATAAATTATTTTTTAGAATAAATGGACGGTGATAAGTCACTTCACACAAAAAGATAAATCATTAATTATTTTTTAAATTTTATTTTTTATAGCTTTTTATGAATAGATTAAAATCTTATATGTAAGAGAGAAAATATTTTAAAATATGATAATAAATTGGGAAATTTTTATCTTTTCCAAATAATATCAATAGTTTAATTACCTTGATAAGATAATTAAAAATAACTTATTTATAAATCCTATAGCAAGTACATGAACAGTATACTGTTAAACACATAATGAATTAGGATTGACACATAAGTTGAATTTTCTAGTTTGCATATTCATTTCACAACTTGAAAGCTTGACCTAACTTTGTTATATCATCGATTGCTTTTGTGTAGTTTTCAACACAGATACCAATCACTCAGTTATACAAACATACAACCACACTACGTACAAACAATGTGACTATGACGATGCACAAGACAAAGACACAACCGAGTGGTCAGCTTCAGATCCGTCGAACACTGAGGTCCGACCGGTGACGGTGGCTGTGCCGCTGGTGAAGGAAGGGATGACATACTTCTTCTCAAGTGACTACGACGGCGAGCAATGTCAAAATGGTCAACGTTTTCAAATAAATGTGACGTATGGACAAGGGTTGCCAAAAAGCTTGAGAGATAACCCTAGTTATGTCGATTCTTCTCCTTCTCCTGCTTCAAGCCCAGTTTCTGGATCTGATGACGTGGCACCAGACACGATCGTTAATGGAAATTTTACAAACCCTAAGGGATCAGCAACAAGTGATAAAGATGATGATGATGATGATGATGATGTGAAGGCCAATTCTGGTTCTGTTTCAGTATTGATTCTGCAGAACTTCATGACAAGTTGTGTGGGATTGTTGTTTTGCTTGGCTTTGCTTTCTTGGTTTTAGTTTGTTATGGGAATTTACTTTATTACTATTATTTTTTTAAAAAAATTACAGTTTACATATTGCTTTGGTTTATTTTAAAGATTTTTCTTATTATTGTTATTATTTATTGGGAATGCTGAGCCATCAAATTAATCATGGGGGTTAATTTGATTCGATGAGGTTGCATTGCTGTACACTAAATATATAATGCAGTATTATATTCTCTGTCCTTATGGTGATTTATTAGAGATCATGGTTAATTATTGCCTAATCTTTATTTTTTTGGAGAATGACAATAAAGTCCTATAACAAAAACTTTATGACAATTAGGTTCTCAATATTTTTTTTAATTAACAAATATTGATTCAAATGGTTATGAATAGGAATTCTAATTACAAACTGAGATTTATATTTAAAATTTAAATTTGTTATTTGTAATTAGAACTTCTGAATTTAAAATTGTCTAAATTAATAATTACAATTGATGTTTTACAAAATTTATTGGGGATTTAATTGTTATAAATTTATTGTTTTAGGACTTTAATTTCATTCTCCTATCGTTTTTTAATGCTTTTTGTTGCTTTTTTTTTATTTTGTTCAATTTAAAAAAAATTTTAGAATTCAAAATATTTTTTTTTACCATGTTTCCTTAAAAGTAAAATAACATAGAGTTTTAAAAATTGAATAAAAAAAATCCTTTAATTGCTTTCTGAAAATACTCATCTTTCTTGGTTACATAACTCAAGTAATTTGATAACTGTCATTATAAATGGTGAAACATGTGAAATATCCACTATTTATCAGTTATGCACATCATGCTTTGTTATCATGCAATTCAAGCTTTAGTTACCCAGCTTTTTTTCCCCGTCAGAATCATACCTTCCTTTTGTACTCAGATTCTGTGGTACAGAACAAAAAAATGATTTGTAGATGCTAATGGAAGCCTACTCTGAAAACACAAAAAATCACTTGCAAGTTGCTAATGGAAGCTTGTTAGGGTTTTTTTTTTTTTTTTTAATTTTTAAATCTTGTATGAGGATACTATCTCTCTTTCTTTTTTTCATTAAATTTTTGTCTAATGAGGCCAATCCTCTGTCCATATGTTATGTTAGACCAAAACGTTAAAGAAGCCCAGCCCAAAACACAAAACAACCCTGCGTTTCACATGAGGACTGAGGACTGAGGAGCAGATTTTTGGAAGGACCAAAATGTTGACAGTTATTTTTTTTAATTACAAAACTACCCTTTGTCAATCCCTCGTTAGCTCGTTGCCATCACCATTCTTTGCATCCTCCGTTACCTTTCAAGCGACTTCGTTCTGCAGCCGTCAGCGCAGCCTTTGTTGCTAGCCGGCATCGCCATTCCTTTCTTTCGCCATCAGATATCGCTGTCGGGTACGTACCGGAACTAACCTCCTTTCCGAACTCAGCCAACTCTTGTTTGCTTTTCTGCATAAACTGCTGGTCGTTTAGAAAATGGCGAGCATCCATAAATATCCAGAACTTTCAGGCGCTTCAATTTGTGAATGTTCAGGGGGAGGGCACGACGATTTGGGCATCCCCTTAAATCCAAAGTTTCCAGATTAATTAGGGATCCAAGTGACTCGGGGAGTTCGGCTATACTTGCCTTCTTAACGTCGAGTAGTAGGAGAGTTTTCATACATTCCCCAAATTTTGTAATTTTTTTTTTACTTTAATGGAGCTACAAAGAACAAACGCTTTCAGAGATGCCATTTCCAATTATATTGGAAGGATTTCATGATTTATGCAATCTTTAAATTTTATTTCAACAAGGCTTTTCAGCTGGCCAAGAGAAGGATCAATTTTTACAAGTTGCTTGCATCCCTCAAGAACTAATCTTTCTAGTTTTCGGCATATTGCAAGATTTGGAGTTTCATTGGAGGTGTTTGGAAAGGCTCACGTCCAAAAGCTTTAGATTATCCATCTAATAAAAATTTAAAGATTGGAAAAATAAGCTATAGAAAACGCTCTGCTTAATCAATAGAGATATGTGGGAATGGTCAAAGTAACCTACACTGCAACCATGCCCAAGTGGCTTTATTTTGGTATTTTGCATTTTGAGATATATGAGTTTATCCAGTTTTTTACCTGATGGAAGAGTTTCTGGAGGATATCCATACCAATAGAAAATTTTAATTTGCGAGGTAAGTCTTGGAGACCTGGGAGAAGGTCAATAATCACTATCCAACCCTGGTTTTCCTTTGACACCAGTGAATGATGGGGGAAAAGCATCTTACTTATTCTTCTTGAATGATGTTATTGATAAGAGAATGCAAGGAATTTATAATGCCTGATTTTATAATTCATTGTCTGCAAGTTGCAATTATCTTATGCAGTATTAGTTTTCTTTCTTTTCTGGCCTGCTTGATAAGGATTGTTATAATTTTGTTATAGAATATAGAACTCCCATGAACAGGCTCAAATGTTTTGGTTGATGAAGGCATCAATTTGCATCCTTCTGAAATTTGAATTGCTTCCCAGAGTTTCGTCATTTACTATAGTTTATTTCTTGATATCCTCTCTTTTGACTTTCAGGTAGTTCTTGGAAAAAATGTACAAGAAGAAGAAACAAGTTGATAAGCATGGACCCTTACATGGTCATATGGTTGCACAGGATCAAGAAATGGACATAAGGAAGATTATGAAAGATGTCGAAAATTTTGGTACTTTTCTTCCATTGTCTTTTGCACCACCTTCTTTTACCTTTTTTAATTTTTATCCCCTATTGTATTAGTCTTTTCGTTTCCTATGATATGCTTTTGGCTTATTTTGTTATGCTTTGGTTCTCTTATGGAGAATTCAAACTGGAGTTCAGACTACACAAAATTGTGGATGATTGTATTCTTGGTTAAGCAATTTGAATATTTGGGTCTTGATTTCTTTGGTTTGTTCTGTTGCAGCTCAAACTATACATGTTTGGTAACTAATATACGTGATATTCTTTAAAATACTTTTTGGTTTAGTGAATTTAAGATTTAAGATACTATTTTTTTTCCATTCTTGATATGTATTTGTTCCTTTTTTTCCCCCCTTTTCTTCTAAAGTACTCGTAACCTCCATAAACTTGCGTGAAGAACAATCTTTTTAGCTTGACAATGAACTTTCCTTAACTTTTATTTATATGTATTATGTAGAGAAACCCTTATTGTTGGTGAAACTGTTAAATCATTGATGGAAACTGCCATGTTAGAGTTAATGGAGCCACATTGCATCTTACATCCTGGGTCATTTATTAATTTCTCTCCCCAATCAAAAAGCACATTTTGTTTTCTACTCCCTTAGAAAGTCAAGAAAAACCCATTATTTTTTCCTTCCCTAGTTTCCAGATTTCATCTTCTTCCGTCTCCATCACTGGGATATCCCATTTCCATCTCCATTGTGCACCTGTATCAAAGTTGCTCAAGCCCCAAATTCCATCTTCCTCCTCTATCCTTCATGCTTCGGATTTTGAATGCCCCCTTTTGCACCTATAGCAAAGTTGTGGCTGGAGGAAGATGTTGCACCAGGGTTTTTCATGATAATCTTGCAAACTTACAATACTCTGTCTTGTTGGATTTCTTCATTCCCCTCATGTACCTAGAAAGCTGCACTTTTTTTTTTTTTTTTGGGTTTTGTTTTGGATTTCTGCAGAATTGCTGGTGGTTCAACATGTAGATTTTCTCTTTGTACGTATTCTAGTTTTTGGAGTCCTTTGTTAAAATAAACATTGTTGGTCTTTTAAACAATGTTAAAGGAGAAAATTATAATGGATCTCATGTTTAAGGAAACTCAGTCTATGAGTTTTTCTTCAGATTATTTTGTTCAATTTTTTTTAGCTCTCTTTGCTTGCTTTAATGAAATCGCCTGCAAGACATAACACATTTAATAGTTCTCGTTGATAGTAATATGTGCTGCTATAATAATGCCCCTTTTGAATGCTTTGATGGCACAATTACCAATAGCAAAGGAAATTGGTTTGGGCTACTAGATGGCATTGATGGCAAAGTTCCTTAGAACAAACATTTCCTGCATCTAAACTCAAACTTCTATTAAAGAGTTATGAATCAGATGTTAACGGGGATGAGAATATATCTACTAGGAGAACTATACTCTCAGCTTTTTAATGAAGAACAAAGGATGTTGTGCGTTTGTGGGAGGAGGAAATAACTAAAATACCTGAGTCCAAGTCAGGTGTCAAATAATACCCTTATATATAACATAGCAATTTTCTTTAATGACTTAACGGATTCTCTGAAGGAAGTTCTTTGCTTATAAATAAACGTTGAGGAGAGTTTATTACAACTATAAGACGTTAGAGGTGTCCTGTGCATATGACTCAAAGTTTGGGGGGCTTATATTTATTTTAACCTTTGTTTTTAATGGAGAAGAAAGGTGGCATGTTAAACTGCTTTAGTCTTGGTTATAGATTTGAAGCTGTTCAATTATGAATAATGTGTAAGATTGTGCTTTCACCTTGTGTGTGTAAACCCTTGAATTATTTCTCGAACTATCAATAAATTTCTCTGAACTTAAATTTCATGAAGTTTATCTATAAAATATAGTGAATTCTGAGCTTCATTGTATGTCATACCAGGTTTTACATTGCAATCCAAGGTTAATAATCCATAATGTCAACTCATACATGGTAACTGGTCAAAATTCCATAGAGTCAAACGCTACATAACAGCTAGTCAAAAGTCAAATACTAATAAAGTACATACCTGATCAGATTTCAATTTCGAGTCGGCATTTTAAAATAAAGCAAGAGCACTAGACATTATTGGAAGAATATGCGGGATTAAAAAATTGCACTAAATATGGTATTTTGCTTGTGCATTTTTCATCGTGATTTGGCTTATTGGATATTTGCTTGATGGTAAGTGAAGGCGTGTCTGGGTCTAGAAATTTATGGTTTTAAAACAGTTCCTTCTGTAGTTTGTGATTCCCAGTTAACCCTGTCCATTGAATTTCATATTAATGATTTGATGCTGTTCTTGATGGTGCCAACTAATGCTATTTTTTTCAGGCTACTCACATATGTCATGGAAAGAACGTAAGAAGATTGAAGATAGGAAGGTTGTTTCTCTAGGCGGGAAGGTATCTTTGCTGCATCATGTGCTACGGAACAATATATAGACTTGGGGACCTGGCAAACAAATCTAATATTGTTGTCTTTGTTCCTTATGCAGGCCCCTAAGCAGCAGAGATTACCTTTAAGCGTGGCACGACTAAGGATGAAGAAACAGAAGGAGAGAGAGCAGCAAATGCTCCAAGAGGTAAAAGCTGTTGCATTTCACTAGAATAACTGCTCACAATTAATTTAATGGACAAGGTTTGACCATCATTGTCGAGAATGGTCTCAATCCAATGGCACAAGCTTTTTAAAGGAAACAGCTATGGTGAATAGCTTAAATTAATCCTTAGCATGTGTTTGAATCTCCTTTGACTTGAATTGTGGTAGCAACAAACAGCTGCCTAAAAATCGCTAGAACATTTCTGATGGTATTAATGATCTTACTCGTGTGTGAGACTCCTGCTGACTATGTTTTACCAATTTTCTCCACTCTCTGGCTTGTAGCGCTTGATTCTTGGACAATTTGGGGGAAAGCTTGGTGGTAGCAGTAAAAGATCAGTGGGGAAGCGAAGACCTGAGGAGAGGGGTCTGAAGTCAAGTGAAGGTCGTTTCAAAAATGGCGTCCTTAATGTGAAGCATTTGTTAAATCCAACCCAATCTAAAGATCAAGCTACTGAAAACCATGTGCCCAGATCCGGTGGAGGCAAAGGAAAAAACGGAGATAAGAAGAGAGGTAAGAAACGCCGTTGATTAATCAAATCCCATGTGGGGAAAAGTTTGTAGGAAAACAAGCAAAGCAGCAGTCAATTTGTTAACGTATCTAGTCAGTTTGATCCTCAGGGGAAAGAGACTTGAATTGAGATTTGATCTTAAATAGTTATTATTAAGGAAAGGTTAATTTATTAATTCATATAGTTTACGTTAACCATCATGTTAGAAAAATTATTTCGAATGATACAAATCATATCAATTCATAATTATAATAAATCTTATAATTCAAGTCAAAAGTGCTGGCTATTAAATTAAGGTCCACTGCTTGGCACAAAAAAACGTTTAATTGAGTTTGAGGACATTTACAATAATGGGACTCCTAACATTGTGAGTTCCATCTGACCATGCAAGTGATGTGGACATCGCTATTTTTGGCAATTTCTTTCCGACGATTGTGACAAAAAAAGTCTGTTTCTCATTCAAAGACTTGAAAGAAAGGATCTGAGGTTCCACTGCAATGTTGAGTCCTGATGTTGGGAGAATAGTTGCTGTGTAATTTGAGCTGGCAAATCCAGCATTTGTGACTACTCGATTGACCTTGACAATGAAAGTTTGTATAACCTCTATCCCTATTGAGGGATAGTTTGCGTTTATTATCATGGATCTATCCGGAAACTTAGGACATATAATGTCTGGAGCTCCAGCGATCTGTTGAATCATTTGAGTATCATAACCCAAATTGCAAAGAATTAGCAAGTAATCTTCCTTGGAAAGGTCATAAACTAATCCAGGAACCAGGATCAATAGCTTGCACAGGATTAACATGTCCTGATCCATAAGCAAACTCACCAATGTGATTATCAACTTTGCCAGTCATAGGTTTAGCTGTAGTCATAATTGCAGATTTGAAGGCTGCTGGAGACCAATGTGGATGGAAACTTTTCGCATAGGCAGCTGCTCCAGACACGTGTGGACATGCCATAGAAGATCCTTTGAGAAAACTGTAATTGAACCTTCTTGTGACTATGGTATCAGAGCCTGGAGAAGAAATTATAATTCTCTTTTAGTGTATAGAGTGAAGAATGAAGTTGTAAAAGTAAAAGTCAATAATGTATACGTGTGTTTAACTATCTTCCTCCACAATCTAATAATCATACTCCATTTTTGGATATAGAAATATAGAAGAATTTCAACCAACTCATATAATTTAAGAAAATTAGTTAACCATAATAATTATGTTTGAAATTGAAAAGTTTAGACTAAAATGTTCTTATAATTAATGTTTACTTTTTCCCTCTAATTTGATAACATTCTCTATTTATGAGGGACAATTTAGGAAAAATATGAGTAATGCTTCTTAAAATTGGTAGTTTTGCTTATAATGAAAAACAAAGAAACATAAGATAATTTTTCTTATTTTTCAAAATGGAGTGGTATGATAGTAAAATGAAACTAAAGGTGGTATATATATATATATATATATATATATGCATGATCAGTTATAATGTATTTTGTACTTTTATAGATCATTTTTCTTAAGTGTTACCTGATGGAGAAACCACGGCTGAAAATGCTGCTAAAATATCAACTCCAGGGGCAGTTATATCTAGTTTTAGGATTTCTGGAACAATCTTGTTGGGCCCACGTGAAGAGAATTTAGCTACTCTTGGTGCAGTGCTATCCATAATACTCTCACTCTTGGTTATCTCAACTTCTGGGTGTTCTGATATTGTGTAAGACTTAACAAGATTAGTGACTTGTTCAGTAGACAAAATAATTGATGGAAGTATAGTCACAAATTTCAAAGGCTCATTGACACTACTGTCGAATAACATCAAAATTAATAAAAACTAGATTTGGCAGTAAAGTGCAACTTAGGTCGTCTCCCTAAGAGTCAATAGAGTAACTATTTGAATTATGATTATGAAAAGGTAAATAATGGGGGGTTTTTTTATGATGAAATTAAAAACTAAATTAGAAATAAATAAATAGAGGAAATTCAACTAAGAAAATTACTGAGAATAAGTAGCGCAATCAATCACAACCCAATCACCTAAATTTAACCTTCCTCGTCCACAAAATAAATTAATTTTATTCAACTTTATTATTCTGGTTTCATTATATATTTCTCAAATTATCATTCAAGAATTAAACAAGAAGTTAAGTTATAGATTAATTGAAATCTCCCTTAACCCACAACCTAACAATTGTTTTATAGCCACACCAAAAACAAAGCATGGATAATCACCCAAGCCAAGCCAAATTACTCTTACAATGCTATATTAATCGATTATAGCAATTAAAACCTCAGATAAAATTTATAACCCAAAAATTATGCAGTAGAGCTACTCTAATCAGCAATAGCAATTAAGGCATAAAATTTAGAGGTAGAGAAAAGAAGAGTAAATTGAAATAAAGTTAGAATAAAATCTCCCCTGAATATTAAAGACTCTGATTAAAATTTAGGATCATAGTTTGTGATTGATCACACCAAGAAAATTAGCTCTTCATAGAACTAAAAATCAAACAACATAAGATAAGAAATTGAGAAGCCATGCTGGAGGAATCGAAGAAAAAGTGAACCGCAATCGCTGCTATCCTGTGATTTTTTTCCGTGATGCCTCTGGTTCTTTCTTTTTTTTCAATTCGTCCAGTGATGCCTCCGTGACACCTCCGTTCCTCCCTTTCATATATATATATATATATAATATATATAATGTCATGCGCCTCTCCTGCTGCGTCTCTTCCAAAAGAAAATAAAATCTAATAATTTACTAAAATGATAAAATTATCCTAAATAACCCTAATTAAAAACTACACTAAAATACCCAAAGTAAATTTAAACAAAATTTTAAAGATTTAATTCTTGATTTGATCTCCAAGCATGCCCAGATTCTTCTTATCCAAAATATTCTCTATCAATATCTTCCAAATTGAATCTAAGAAATCTGCACAAATAAAGTAAAATTAAATAGCACCTGTGCAAAAATATTAAAGATATTATTTATATTTTAAAATCAAAGATTTAGTTAGTTAAAATTCCAAAACTAAATATTAGCTAATAAAATCAAATAATATCTAATTAAACTCAATTAGCCTTAAATAAATATTTAAAAGTCTAAATTAAAAGAATAAAAATATATAAAATTATCATTTATCGATTCCCCCACACTTAGACTTTTGCACTCCTGGGCAAAACTTAAATCTCAAAATTCAAGAAAAGAAATGTGGAAGCAACAAAGAATAAGAAATAATTATAGCTCTTCAACATTTTAACACTCTAATTAATATCTCTTATATTGAGAATAACAAGTATCATGGCAATTTCATTTGGTAAGAATAAATTAAGCAATAGCCCCTCACAAAGGTCAAGTGTTTAACTCTCAACTCTCAAATGTATATAGGTAAGTGTTTCACTCAAGTTTCCCTATTAAAATCTCACTACCATAGGCTTGTTTATCATCTAGGTCTCCACTATTTATGTCATATGCAATGTAAGAATCAATAGGACTTTAGTTTAGGTTGTAATGAGGCTTAGGTAAAGGTATGATATAGGAAAATGAAGGTTAATAAACTTTAGGATAATGAAAAGTATATTTGAAACGAAATATATAGAATGAAAGAAACAAAATAAATTGATTTGGGTTTATTTTTCTCTCTTTATTTTGTTTTCCTTTCCTTTGCTTCATGCACCTTTCTATTTATTTATTTTTGTTGCGTTATGACTTTTATGCTCTTTCTTTCCTTTTCTTTTCTTTTCTTCCTTTCTTTCTTTGCTTTTTTTTTTTCGCTCGTTTTTTTTTCAAAATAACCCAAATCTCTCTTCAAGCATATTCTTTCATTCCAACAAATATTATAATACACTTTTCATCACCTAAAGTGGGGTGAGAAGAATGAAAGGAAAATATTTTTATAGGTTATGTTTTCAATTGGCTAAAAATTTAAAGAAAAGGTTTAGGCTCAAAGGGGCTAATAAGGGATAAATTGCATGGGATGGCTATTTGGCTAAGTAGGCTAAAAAAAGAATGCCTAAATCATATTCATGCAAAGCATATGCAATTATAGTCTCAACTAAGAATCAAGACAAGTTCTAGAGTGGGAGTAGTGATAGTAGAATACACACAAAAAGAGAATAATATTAGGCTCAAATCCTTACAAGCTAAAGACTATCACATTAATTCATTGAAACCAAATTCATTGCCACTTAACTTAAATTCTAAACATAAGATCAATTACTTATCATGCTCAAATGCATTCAAACTAAAATTATCTTAAACCCACAACTTCACACAAAAAAAAACTAAAAGTATTTAAAAAAAATGCAAGAAAACACCTAAAAATGTTTTTTAAAAAAAATTTCAAAATAAAGACAAATCCCTTCCCCCACACTTAAATCTTGCATTGTCCTCAATGCAATTCAATTTAGAATAATCCAGTTAATCTAAAAATAAAATATAAGATGCAAGGTAAAAGTGAAAGGAGAAGAGTTCACCAGATAATTTAAATCTCTGTAAGCTCTTAAAGTTAAAATTCTCATCTCTGATGGAGAATAAATGCTTGTTTAAAATAGTTTTCTCTTCAAGTTTATCAAAAGCTCCTTTAGGCAATGGTTTTCCTTTATCTGGTTGAAGGTTGCATGACAATATCTCCATTGAAGATGGCCTCATTGTAGTAGAAATAATTTTCTTAATCACAGGTACCTGATCATGAAACTCAACAGAAACAACAAAATCCTCCACACAAGGACCATTAGAGTCAGAATGCATAACATAATTAATAATCCCATGACTCTTGATATTATCAATGCCATCACAAAAGCTCATAGGGATCACAAAATCAATGCTATTAAAACAACCAATTGACTGCATGGTCTCACAAATATCATTATAATTAGGAGACTTAACACAAATAAATGGGCTAATAGCCTCAGTAGAATCAATACAGTCAAGTAGATCATCACGCTCAATAGAGTTAATGTAAATAAGAGGATCCAAAGAATCATTAGAGTTTATGAATTTATCTATTCCAATACAGTTATGAAAGTAATCAGGTGTACAATGCATAATGTTTTCATAATTCATCACATTAGGCAACTCAGCAGTCAAATTATCCCAAGGCTCATCACATGTATTATCAACTAACATATTAAGCATGCTCACATTAATAACAAAATGATCCTCTATAGAATATTTCAT